TGACTCTTTTAACTCTTTTGGGAAGATACTCATCAGAGGAATAGCTGAATCAAATGGGACCTGTAATCATAGATTTTTGAGATATCTCCATACTGATTTCCACAGTAGTTACACCAGTCTACACTCCCACCAGCAGTGGAACAGGGTTCCTCTTTCCCCACAACCCCCACCCCAGCATCTGTTATTGGTTGATTTCTTGATAGCAGCCATTCTTTCTGGAGGAAGGTAGAATTTCAGTGTTGTTTTCATCAGCATCTCTCAAATAACCAGTAATGTTGAACATTTTTTCATATGTTTATTTGCTGTTTCTACTTCTTTGTCTGAGAAATGTCTATTCATTTCAGATGCCCATTTTTGGATTGGGTCTTTAAATTTGGGAGGGCTGATATTTTTGAGTTCTTTATAGATTCAAGATAGTAGAACTTACTCGGAGGAACAGCTGGTAAAAATTTTTTCCCACATTGTGGGTTGTGTCTTCATGCTGTTGGTGGTTTCTCTTGCCATGCAGAAGCTTTTTAGCAAGATGAGATCCCAATTGTTGATTCTTTGTGCTGGTTCACTTGCGACTGAGGTTTTGTTCATGAAATCTTTTCCTACACCAATGTTTTCAAGAGTTCTACCTAACCTCTCTTCCAGCTGGATTAGTGTTTTTGTTTTAATATTTAGATCTTTGATCCATTTTGATTTTAATTAGATTCAGATCTTGGCTCTTCCCAATGCCTGCCCTATGACAACGATAAAATCTTTTCAACTCTGAGTCAGTTTCTTAAATGTAAAATAGAGGTAGTATGAGCTACATTATAGGATTTATAAGGATTATATATAAGCACCAAGTATTGTGCCAGGTACACAGTACTCAATCAATAACAGATTATTGTTAATCTTTGTACAACACTATTTTAATATTATTTACATTTTAATACCATATTAAATACATTATAGGTATTCAGTCAAGTTATTTTTAAAATTTTTAGATACAATTTACAGATAATAAAGTCAAAAGAGTACAGTCTGATGCATTCTCAAAATTACATGCACCTATGGATCTACCACCCAAATCAAAAAAAGTATATTCTTCATTATTCTTCCTTCCAATTGATTACTTCTCACCCACAGAGGCAAATGCTTTCTGATTCATACTGTCATAGATTAGGTTTGTCCATTCTCAGGCTTCATGTAAATGGAATCCACCATATACACTCTTTTGTGTCTGCCTTCTCTTATTCAATGTAATATTTTTAAAATATACAACCCTATAGCATGGATCAAGGTTTATTTTTAACTATTGTATTGTATTTCAGACATGAATACATCAAAATTTTTCTCATTCCCTTATTTATGGATCTATTGGTTGTTTCTAATTTGAAGCTCTTATGACCAAAGTTACTATGAACATTCTTGCACAAGTCTTTTTGTAGACACGTTTTCATTTCTCTTGTGTAAATGCTAAATGGTGGAATTGATGTCTCATAAGGCAGATGCATATTTAACTTTATAATGCAGTTTGACAATCTATGCCTTTTAAACAAAGCTTTCAGTCAATTTATTTTTGTTATAATTATTGATACAGTTGGACTCAAGCCTATCATCTTCATATTTTTTGGCTTGCTTTTGTTCCTCTGTCTTCTTTTCCATTAATTGACTGCTGCACTTGTATTTTACCCTCTCCAATTGATTTTAGATTTTGAAGCCTCTTTCCTTAATAGTTACTCTGTATATTCCAATATGCATCCTTAATTTATTCATTTTCTACCTTGAAATAAGTCTGTAAGTTGTCTAAGTTGGGTTCAAACTCATTATCCTACCTCCTCAGCCTGGGATTACAGGTGTGTGCCACCATGCTCAATTAGAATTCTTAATTATTATCATCTCATTTGTCCACATGCATCTTCATTATTTCCTATTATCATAAATTTTAGTTGTATATGTGTTGTAAATTCTATCATATATTGATATTAATTTTGTTTTAAATACTCAATAACCTTTAAAAATTTTTCTTTTATGTTTACCTTTTCTGGCCCATATTTGTGGGTCAGATTCTGTTGACTATTTTTTTCTTAATTATGGGGCACATTTCACTGTTTTTTAGGATGTTTTATCATTTTTTATTATATGCTAGACATTATGTGAAAAAGAACAATAGAGTATAGTATCAGATATTTTTCCTAGAAAATTCCATATCTTTTCCTATATCAGTCCTCTGGGGTGGCATCTAAATCAATCTCAGTTTTATCTGAACCAGGTTTGGGCCTTTTGGAACATTTAGTGATGCTCACTTTGACACTAGCTCTATATTTTAAGAAAGATAAGAATTATCATTATAGCAGGTTATAGAATTTTCCCAATGGAGAACCCTTGGTACTTTACAGAGAGAATTTATGCTGTCAACTTCTGAGGTGACTAAAGAGTTCTTTTTCTCTTCAGCATTATCTACCAGTTGCTACAAGTTGGCATCTTTCTCTCCATTGTGATATTCTTTCCCTTATCTTTGATGAAATGTTATCTTTCACTTAGGGAAGAGTTTGTGCACTTTAAAGATTTCTCTGGTTTCTCCTATTCTGCCTTCAGCCTTTGGTAGGATGCTGCCATGGTCCTTGATTAAATTAAAATTAATTATAAGCAGGCTTTACTTTATTTCATTGTGCTTCAGAGATACTGTGCTCCTTTGAAACTGAAAGCTCATGACAGCCCCACATTGAGTGAGTCTATTGGGACCATCTTTCCAACATCTCACGGTGATTGCTAGTAGCAGTTTGCAGCAATAAAATATTTTTAGTTAAAGTTTGCACTTTTCTAAACATTATGCTACACTGAACACTGAATAGACTATGGAAGAGTGTAAACATTACTTTTATATGCACCAGGGGCCAAAAAGTTCATGTGACTTGCTTTATTGTGCTATTTGCTTTGTTGCAGTGGTCTGGAACTAAACCTGCTATGTCTCTGAAGTATGTCTGCATAATTTTTTAAAAATAAATATTCCATTACACTGTAATAATATCTGTACTTTGCAACATATTGTCTCTACCTTTCCTACACAATTTTATACCTTATCAATCAATTAAAGAGTTTGTATACTACTTTAAGGCAAGAATGAATTTCTTAGGTGAGCTATATTACTATTCCAGTGTTGAGTTCAAATTCATTATAATCAAATAAAAGGATTGAAAGAACATATGTTTGTTAATATTAATAAACATACTTCCTGTTGATTATACAAAAGAATTTATGATTTGATACTGTATTAATGTGCAAATACAAAAAGGTGTGCTATTTCTTAATCTGAAAAATCATGGTCAACATTCCATTACTTGAAAACTCCTACACCCATGTATCAGAGGTGTCAGAGTTCTTAAAATTTTAAAAAAAGGATATGACATCTTTCTGGATTTCTGATACTAGGCACTGGGTAGATACAGAGTAAATAGTTTTAAAAGAATAATAAAAATTTACTATTAGCCTTTGATAGATAAAACACAGGTACCTAGCATAATACAACCAGTCAAGATTCCACTGGCATTTCTTACAATAATAAATATTTTCCCAGAAGCCATGAGCAAGATTTATTGGTGAGTCAGATAGCCCATTTGCCCTACCCCACTGAGAAGAGAGCTGCCTGCCTTCGAGTTATTTCAGTTGTCCTAGATGGACCTTGTTCTCCATGAAGCCATGATAAGGCGGGGAATCTCCCACAGAGCGCTCCAATTTTGTGAAGCTACGCCAGTTGAGGGACTTTTCCTGATTGGTGCCCTACTGTCTTTTAAACCAGCTGGAACCAGCTGGCAGATGTATCCAGGAGTGAGATCAGTGTGTTTTCTGACAAGACCCTTCTTCCTCCCACACACCCGATTTGTTCCACTTTTACTCCTTTCCACTGGGAAGTCATTTTCCCTGGGCTACAAGAAAGAGCAACATCTGACCTCCTGACATGCCTTGTCTGGTATTTCATGGATTTGGCAGTTTTTCACTCAAGCACGATTGTTTAAAAGCTCTCTGAACTTTTGCTTGTGCTGCTGTTTTTGCTTGGGATGCCCCTCACATTTCTGCATCCATCCCCCTTCTTCCACCAGACTTGACTCTGGATGTTCCAGGAAGGAGACCCTGACTGATTCATTTTTGTTTCCACTATGCCTGAATATAGTGACTAGTTCATAGGAGGTGCCAAATAAATATTTATTCAGCTAATGTAAACTGAGACTGACTCACCCCTCTCCTGCTCCGTGTTCTGATATATGGTCATGTCTCTTCCTCGGGATGACTACTTCTGCTTGTCCAAGAGTCTGGGGAAGAAAAACTGAGCAGAGTCCATCTGACTGCCTTTGATTCTTTCGCTGTGTTTTGGGAGAGCCAGGGTCATGGCTCTCAAAATCCTTGCTTAAGGGCTGGAAATTGAGCTCAGTCATTTTGTCGCCTGCTGAGCAAGCTCAAGGACCCTAGTTCGATCCGTGCAAGGAGCAGAGTTCAATCCCCAGTACCAAAAAACAAAACAAAACAAAACAAAAAACCTCAACAAAATCCTTGCTTGAAATTAACTCTGATTTTTTTCCTTATTAATCTAGTGGAATGCCTCTAAACACAGTCTTATAATACCAGAAGAAAATGAAATATTTATTTTGTAATTCTCTGACCAATCATATATCCAACATTTTTTCTGCAATAGACAAGGGTATACTAGAAAACTTTATGAAAAATTTCTAAGAAAAAAGTTTTAATTGAGGTAATTCTGTGCATAATTAATTTTTGTTTCATTTCTACTACCCAGTTTTTACCAGTCTCTGTTATGGGATGCCAGTGTTACATAGGAATGACATTTAAGAACTTTTTCTCCAATTAAGCAAAATTACAATTAAAAACATCACCTATCAGCAATAAGCTAATTTAGTTCAAAGAAATGTACAAAAACTTTATTTTGACTAATGATGTTTGCTTCTTCAAACAGGCTTATAGCCCTCCATCAAGTATTGAAGAGAGTAACTATTTGCCATGTTTTTCCCTCTTAGGCTGTGAAGTTGAGATTCTTGGTGTCAGACCTACTTATTGCCTAGAATATAAAAATGTCCCAACGGATATCAATTTTGCCAATGCAGTCAGCGATGCTCTTGACTCACTCAAGTAAGTGTCCCAAATTCTTAGCCATCACACTGTTCTTCCTTGTTTCAGGGCCAATAATGAATCAAGAGGGCCTGATATAGGTGAAATCATGTCTCAAAGAGTTGGTGAGCCTATAACATGGGAATTGCTACCTGCTGGGAGGAAATGATTATGAATAAGTAATTTGGGGTGAGGAACTCTGGAATGTTCAATAAAGAGCAAGAAAATCCCCAGGGGTTTGGGACCTCCTTTTATATGTTGTTGGATAAGGGAGAAGTAATATAAATGCCAGCATTTTCCTAGTCATAATTTAGCAAACAAATTATATCTCAAAGATATCAATAAATATTTGGCAAAAAGGGAGGATCAATAATCAGATAAGGTTGGAAATCTTGCTTCTTCTCCTACCTTCTTGGAAATGTACAAAGCACATTAGTATATCAGAACATGGAGCCGTTTTTTTTCTCCCATGCCAAACAATGACGCATGGTTTGAAAATGCAGAAATTAGTAGCGCAGTACTGTTCTAAATGGCACAGGAGTCTGTCGGTGAAACTGACCAACAAGACAGGTCAGAACAGTCTCAAATCAGTATGAGAAATCACTTAAAGGAGTCATCAAGATGGGAGATCAGCTGCAAGTCTGCATTAGAAATTAGCAACCAGAAGACGAAGGGTGCTGGTGGCTCTCAAGTGTCCGGGGCTAGACTAGAGATCACCTTGACTGCTAAACTGGTTTCTAATGCAGAACATTCTGAGTAATCAGAGTGTAGAGACCAAGACAGGACCTGCATCCTCACAAAAGAAGGAGCACATTCTCCAGCAGGGTGCTCTGTGAGAGTTAATGAATATTAAGCGGGTGTGCAGATCCCTAGCACTGAACACATGAACTGGCCACACTAAGACTGCCTCAGATACAGAGATGACCAGTTATGGATCTCATTCTTTCAACCCCCTTCTGTCCAGAACCATCATGGTGAGCTAAAGTCACCACTGCAGAACTAGTAAAGGAAAAAACCCCTGCCTTCACTGATTCTTAAAATATTCTACTTCCATGAAATCCATCAAGAGGGGCATTTAGGGGACATAAGTATTCATGTTATAATTGACAAGTTGGAAAGAAACTTGTTTTAAAATACTTAAAAGAGAGGAAGGCGCTTCCTGGCCACAACCCCTCCCACTGCTCCTGGCCCAGAGGAAGGGTCTTCCGGGCCACCATCCCTACCGCCGCTCCCGGCCCAGAGGTAGGGGCTTCTAAGCCACTGTCCTACTGCTCCTGGTCCAGAGGAAGGGGCTTCCTGGCCACCATCCCTCCTGCTGCTCCAAGCCCAGAGGAAAGGACCTTTGGGCCACCTTCTGTCCTGCCACTCCCGGCCCACAGGAAGGGGGTTCTGGGCCACCATACTTACCCACACTCCTGGGCCCTGACCCACCTCTCCCAGCTCAGAGGAGGTGATCCTTGCGGGCGCCAACAGCACCCCCCCCCGCCACCACCCCCACCAACCCCAGAATGAGAAAACACATAAGTAAGTCTCAAAACCAGACTTTCAGATCACCTACAGCAACCCCAAAGGGAAATGAGATGGAACACTCTGATACTCAACCACCTGGACCCACTCAACTGGCAACAAAAAGGGATCTGGAAAAAATGAAATCAGAAATAATTTCTCAGATAACAGGAGAAATTGTGCTCCTAGTGCAAGACAT